ATTACTTGCCTCAAATCGTTTATTGATCTCAATATACAAGTCATGAAGATGTTGAGTAATGCTTCAGCTGACATAGACACTCTAGCATGTGGGGGCATGAGAATAATGTTTAAAGGCTTCACAGACTCGTAATTAAGAATAATTGCAAAAGGACTCGTACTTATAGACTGATTCACAAAATGTTTATATGTACCTTGAACTGTTGGGATGATCAAATCCCAATTCCCAAGATTGTCCTTGAAAATGGCAAGATTACACAAATCAACAACACGTTTGGGTTGGATAAGGGTACGGCATACAACGCTTGACTGAGAGGTAGCAGGAACAAGGGGTACAATACCTAGATTCATAGGAAAAGTCCAATTACTACCCAAGGCGGTGTTCTCACTATCATCAAAGTCATCGGGTTCTTCAAGTTTACGTACAAAGACTTGGTCATCTAAACTTTCATCTATTATATTATTTTGTTCTTCAATGACTAAGGTTCGGCTAGGACATTTGGAAGAGATGGGGACAAAGTCTTTATAGTTGAAGCACTGTAAGTGAGAAGAAGTCATTGAAATTTCAGAAATTGTACCCTTATTTTTGAACACAAAAGGAACATTTGACGGGGAATGTCTCCTAATAGATTTAAGAGGAAGTGGCGTTGAGGATATTGGTGTATAGTTGTCACCACACGTTTTATATGGAGTACCAATAATCAACTCAAAATCTCGGGCTAAAGAGTAAGCCTGATCAAGGGTAGTGACACCCCGAAAGAAAAGCTCACGCCTAAGATCATCTCTTAGACCTTGTCTAAACCTACTCACAGTCAGAGCCTCATCCTCAACGACATGACATTTCATTCGAAATTCCTCAAATTCAGTAATATACTCAGTCACTAACCGATTTCCTTGTTTAAGGGCATTCCATTGAGTACAAATCTCAAAATCTAAGCAACTGTCAAAAGTAGGAGCATGTACTTTATTGTCTCTAAAGAAACGCTCCTTATGACGTGGAAGAGAATGAGTATCATGACGGTTATAACATCGTTCTTGCTTACGAACCCAATCCCCATCCCTACGGTCGTATCGAAGATACTTTTGGTCACCTTGTCGATAACGATACTGTCTATTATAGGACACTTTAGAATTATCAACATTAGTCGAACGAGGGATTTGCTTAAAAGTGGACAACCTAGCGGCTAAATCTCTATTCGCTTCACGAGTAGTTGCTATCTCAGTTTGTAGTTGTTGTTGGCTAGTGGCAAGTTGTGTTAATTGACGAGTGATGATATCAAGTTGAGATGGGTCCATGGTCAGGTTACGGGAACTAGATGTGACAAGGCGACCGCTACACAACTGTATGCAATGTACTACCAACTACGTGACGTGCAATGAAGAGATCAATAAACAATAAGTGCAAGCAAATAATCTGGGCATTTATTTATTTATTTTTTTGAAACTTTGGGAATGAAGCCAAATACGACAAGCTAATACTGCTGATACATTTAAAATAACAACGCACGCGTCCAATACTAGTCAAAATCCAATCACATAAAATAATGGGTAAAATGGGCATTGAGCAGGTAGTGATTCGATCACGTGAACCTTAAGTAAAATTATGGGAATTTAACAAGTCAAGAGGTTCAGTCACGTGAACTTTAGATAAAATTAGAATAACAGCAGAACAAAAAAAATTAATCGAAGCGATTTTAAAATAAACAGTAATGTAAACTAAAGATAAGAAATAGTAGTTTCCCTATTGTTCGTCGAAGTAATTGAACGCCAAATAATTGATCTCCAAGGATAGTAGCTTCTCGTTTGAAGTAACTGAACCAATCAATAGGTCAAAGAGGTACCTACAAAAATCTATTAGAAAAAATATTTTTTTTCTCCTTTTTTTTTTTTACTTTTTTTCCTCTTTTTTTTTTCTCCTTTTTTTTTTTTTTAACTAAAAACAAATT